TCTGTAACCTGACTAGTATTTACCATAATTCTTCTTTTCTTAAATACATGTTGAATAATGTAAACAAACATTTGTCTCTCCTTAGATGCACATTATTCCACACTGAGAGAAAAGGCAGCACACAACCACACAGTCACATGCTCACACAATCACACCGAGAGAAAAGGCAGCACACAACCACACAGTCACATGCTCACACAATCATACAATAAGGATTCCTCACCTGACTCAACAGTCTAGGGGTCCAAGACACCCTGGCATGAGACTCCGCATATCTGAAATCACCTCTCTCCCCCCCCTTTTTTTTTTAAAAATAACAACTTCCCTTTCTCCTTTATTAAACCTACCTCCTTGGGTCCCTGCTTCTTGTGTCAGATAGGGAAGACCAGGTCAGACTCTATGTTCAAGTGTCCAAGGAGAGCATGTGTAGTCAGTGACTATGTAAAGAAGGCACACACATACACACTTGGTGGATGAAGCAAGCTTGAACCAGCTCCAACAACTTTACATATATTCATATATACACATTTGGGGATGGAGTAAAGTTCCAACAACCTTTTTATTCTCCCACAGCTTGCATGTCCCAGCAAAATATTTCAAGCTGTATAAAAATCACTATGTGATTACATTCTATTTTTATGTGAACAATTACCATGAATATATATATAAAATCATGTTCCCCCAATACACTCCTTACATGAAAACCAATTGTAAAACAAATTATTCACAAGAACACACATATATTTGTAACTAAGCAACTTGTTATAGATGAACAAAGTAAGCATGGTAATTGTCTCAGCCAGTTTCCATTACTGACAGGCCACAATTTGTGGTTACAAAGCAAGGATCAATTATTTTATTACTTGTCTTAAAATGTACTCTTATAAAAGTCTTAAAAGAATCACAAACCTAAATTTTTTCCAAATCAACCAGTCATTTCTTCTTCAAATCCTCAGGGTGCACATCTGTTTTCTCTGCTTCTCTCCTGCTTTCTCCCCATTCCTCCTCTCCTGGCCTGGTTCAATCTACTTTCTCTTCCTGCTTATCTTCCTTCCAGATGCCTCTGGCTGTACTTTCCCTCACATCTACAATAGAAACCTCCCCTACACCATGCCTTGAGCGGTCATGTCCTCCTTTCATTCACCCTCAGGAGGCCACTATAGAGAAAAGTGAGGCAAGAATCAGTTGGCTCCAAGACAGTTTATGTAGTCATGTTTTTAATGCTGTGTAAAGTTTATCCAGGGGTTATAAAAATGCTGATTTCTCTTCCCTAATATCTCTTTTCAATCTGGACATGGCATTGTCATACTTATAAGTATGAATCTCCTGTTTCAAGTTTGTGTAAACAGTTCTAACCCTTTACTCTGCCTTGGCCATAAATACTGATCACCCACTATGAACTGAGTGCTGTATCCTTCAGAAATTTACTTATCAAGTGAGTCTGTTCCCAGTCACAGGTACACAGTGAAATCCTATTTCCAAAATAAATAAATAAACACTTGCTTTATAATTAAAAGCTGTTTGCTTTGTCAAATAATACAGCGTTTAGCAGTTCTGATTATTTTATTTACATTATACTACATTCAGTGTCTCAATCCCTTCTCCTATCTTGTGGTTCTGTTTCTTAAAACAAAACAACAAAACACAATAAAAGCCTCCAAATTCTTCATGTGCTGTGTGAGTGAGGGAACAAAACCCCAAAATCTTCATGTACAGTGTGTATTCTGCTCAAAAATATGAGTAAACAAGCCACGACATGAACAGGTTGGACTCGTTTGGAAGTGCCCAGGATTAGAAAAAAGGTAATTCTTTTTGTGTGTGTGTTTGTTTAAACATTTTTTTTTTTTACAACAGATACAATTCATATCTGACTAGCTTTGTTTCTCCTTTCCCCTCCCACAACCATGTTCACTGGGCCACTTCCTTGTATTTGAGCAGTCAATGTACTGGACAAGTCAGCACACTTGCCCAGCAGTACTTTTAAGTCCATTCTTACAGGGTGAAAATGGATTTCAATAATTTATAGAAATGTGGGTTATGCTTGATCACTGCAACTTCCGGCTACTGTACACAGGGATGAGAAGGTTATAGAAAAATGCCACGGCAACAGTGCCCTGAGAAAGGAAAGGGGCACCTTTAAAAAAATGGATAAAATCAGGCCAAGGGACTTCAGAGGGAATGGAACATACAAGAAATGAAGACATTTCTTTGCAAAACAAATGGGGCAGCGCTGCTCTCGATCAGGTGCGAGTGCTGCTCAGTTGTCTCATGATATCTGTACACTGCTCAGAAGGTTCAAAATCGTAGCCTCAGACACACATCACCAGGTGCTTGCACTGGACTTCTGAAAATGCAAGATTTCTGAATGATCAATTAACCCCCCAAATTTTTTATTTTTATTTTTTTAAGAGGCTAATTTTGCAGACAGTTTTCCTTGTAAAAGGCTAGGTATTTAGCCACCTCAGCATTGATTAGTTTCAGATGTCTGTTACACATGGCTTCCCATGGCTTCACTCTACAAAACATATTTACAACATGAAGATACATCTATAAGAAATGTACATTTTACAAATCAATCTTGTATCTTTCCCCTGAATTGACTCTCACAGACCCCGTCCCCATGTCATTTCATTTGCCCAGCTTAACAGTCCATGGTCCACTTAAATGCAGCTCAAAATGTTATGACAGGGCAACAGATTTACAGTTCCTCTATGAGATCATGTGCAATCATTTCACATCTTCGGACCATGAAGGAATTCTGATTTTTTAGCTTTTTGAGTTCCTTAACTTGTTGTCTCAAAAATAGTATCCTCTGCTCTCGAAAAGTTGCTTGAATTTCACATACTCGAACTAACGATCTCAAATTTTTTAACTCAGTACATATTTCTGACATGTGTACACTTCCCATATTATGGCCTTCTTCACGCAATCTTGATGCCTGTTTCTCTGCATGGTCTGCAGGCCACCTTGAACATGTCTTATGAGATTATCATTGAAGTGTGCTGCTAGAGTAGGTGTTAATGAGCACGCAGGCCTAGCAGATGCATTCTGTGGTACAACAGTTGCAGTTGATGCGTTACTACTACAAGTATGATTTGGACCAGGTGATGGACTTCTCTGGCTTAAGCGCTGAAGACTTCGTGGGGAGACAGGATCATGACCCTGCTGCTTGTCAGCAGTTACAGGCTGCTGTGTAGCCGAATGAGACACTGGTCCTTGCTTAACTACTGGAGTACTAACCTTTGGCTGTGATGAAGCAGGTGGAGTACTAATCAAAGGTTTAATGGGGAATGTCTTAGTTTTTAGGTGTGCTTATTCTTGGAGACACATAGGATCTTGGAGATGAAGCATCGGACATTAGAGACATTGACGACTGATTAGATGGCTGGGCTTGTGTAGAAAGCTGGGCAGCTTGAGAAATCAGTGAGGTGATGTTGAAAGCAGATGGTCCAGCAGTAAGAAACTTGTGGATGATCGAGTACAGGGAAGCTTGTGTTACAGCTGCTGTAAGAACTTCATTTATTTTGGATATGTCCACATTAGAATTATTAAGCTGTAGCGTGGCTTGCAAAGCAGGAAGCAACTGTCTAAAAAGCTTTGGGTCCTGAAGTAACGGAGGTATTGTTGACTGTGGAACGGGAGAAACAGGTACTGTTGAAGCAGATGTTGGAGGCCCAGACGTAGGGTTCAGGCCAGAGGCTGAAGATGTGGAAGGAGTTGTACAAGAATGTGATACCGACTTGTCTCCTGGAGCAGATTCTTTTCTGTCTGTTTTCTGTGCAGGGAGAGAAGCTGTGGGTGTAGGCAGTTTTGATAAAGTAGATGCTCCATTAGCATCAAATGATTTCTTTGGCTGGTGATCAGACTGAAGCGTAAATGGACTAGAAGAAACAGTGCTTGGGGTAGCGGTTGGATGAGCCACTGGTTTGATGGGGTGCTGTACTGGTGTAGAGCTACTGTGAGTCTCTGCTCTTGGCAGTCTGTAGTCTTTGTC